TGATGATCCAGTCATCTAGCGGAGTATAGATGACGACCACAGACTATTCTAGATAGTCCAGTGGAACACTAGCAGACTCACAACCTGTAGGTGTTTATTCGAACTGTGTGTTTATTTGAACTCTGTGCTCACCAGATGTACTCCATCCCCCACATGGTTGCCATAAGGACATTTACGGCTGAGGAATCCCCTTAGCAGTAGTGTCCATCCCGATGATAGTCCTTAGACTAAGTCCCTTGTGTTAGATGTCTTAGGGACGTAAAGTGATGATAACGGGAATGGGTAATCGGGTTTATTTGGTTTGATAAAGTTAATAAACTTATTTATTGTGGGTTGAAAACCCTATGTGCTCACCAGGCTCCCAAGCCTGACCCACTCAGTTTCTTGTATTATAGGTAGTGACGCATGAGCATAGATGTGATGTTTTGGACGAGGGATTACGGATATAGACCTGTAGATATGAAATAATGTAGTAAGGCCTATGTTGTGTTGTTTATACTTATATACTGTATCGAACATGACATCCCGAGTCTTTTTAATGAAATACATTTCTAAGGAAATGCTTTTGATAAATCTGTATCATAATATTGTTTTGGGACAAATTCCGCAACTCTTTTATTAGATTACTCTGATTTTGAAATAAAGTATAAACAAAACCGGTCTTTTATGGCCGTGATTTTGGGGATGTCACAGTTGGTATTATAGCATTAGTTTAAGCGAACTAGGAATTTGTAGGATTTCTAGACTTAAACTTAGAATGCTAAGCGATGATTGTGAGGTGTGAGCACTAGCTTATTTTAGGATCTATAGTCTGTTACCGACCGGATTTGGAAACCTTATGTGTTTATAATTCTAAGCGTTTAACTACGATATTAGAACTAGCATATAAATGTTTCGGAGTGATAAGGATGATTTAAACATCAATCCTAAATAAATATCTAGATTCACCTTATTCGGTGTATAGATCAAGATGGCAAGGACCCGTAGCGGAAACGTGAATGCAAATGGGAACCGATATCAGCCCCCAGTGATACAGCAAATACCAGTCGTAGTAGAAGTTGCACCCGAGCCAATCACGATGGCCGGAGTGCAAGCATTGATCTAGATGATGTTGGATCGTCAAATGGAGGAAACAAGGTGTTTACTTCAACAAGCTCGAGAGGAAATTATGATGCCTACTGAACAGCCCGAGCTGAATGATGGGCAGTCTGAGGAAGGGAACGACAGCAGGATCGTTGGTCAAGCTGATCCCCCAGTGATTAGGATGAACAATCATGATGAAGGAGTCGAGAGGAATGGATGCAAGTACAAAGATTTTCTAACTTGCAAGCCATCGACTTTCACTGGGAAGGAAGATCCGACCGGGGTCATGGATTGGATCTCAGAGATGGAATTGGCCTTCATGACATGTGGTTGCAAAGGCAAGCTACAAACCACGTTTGCAGTACGTCAATTCAGAGGAGGCGTTGTTCGCTGGTGGAATACCCTAGGGAAGACTTTGATCCCCAATGAGCCCCTACAACTGGCATGCGTAGAGTTTCCGGTGCAATTTAAACGAAAGTATTGCTCAGCTCAAAACTTACTCGAGCTAGAGAACCAGTTCCTGACCTTGAAGAAAGGAAGCATGTCAATTGATGAATACACCAACAACTTCATAGAGAAGATGGAGTTCGCCTTGCGCCTTGTTCCAGATGAGCTGACGAAAATCGACAAGTATGCAAAGGGACTTCCATGGGAGTATGTGGTGCCAGTGCGTCAGGCACCTACTCTGGAGACAGCTATCTGGGCTGCCAAGTCTGTGGAAGATATGATTAAGGGAAGAGCTGCCAACAAGATTGAGGTTGCCGCGAAAAGAGGAAGTTTGAGGGGTCTACCAGGCCCAATAATAAGATCAAGTCTGGTTCAAAGGAGTTTAGCGGAGGAGGAAACAAAGTGAAATGGTGCGAGAAGTGCAAGAAGAATCACTTTGGGAAATGTAGCGAAGAAGTGACTTGCTACAAGTGTGGGAATACCAGACATTACGCCAATGAGTGCACCGCCAACAAAAGGGTTTGTTATGAATGTCATGAAGAAGGGCATGTTGCTAAGGATTGCCCAAAAAAGAAAGAGGCGGCAAGACCAAACATTCCACCAAAACCAAAGGCAAGAGCATTCCATATGATCCTAGACGAAGCAACTGACGATGCAAGGAATCAGGAGTGAGGATGGATACATGGAGATCAAGTTATGAAGAAGCCATGTAAATAGTGTCATATGGTGTAGCCTATTAGAGGCATAATCTAGGGTGAACTTGAACACCCATATAATCGTTTCAAGGAATAATATAAAACCTTCGTTTTGATATTTTATGTGTTAAGTTTCTATGTGATTTTCTTGTATGGTGACTTGGAAAACCACGGACAATACTTGGAAGAGTATGAGTAGGTGTGAAAGGTAGTAGAGGCCTATACTACCGGAAGCACATGACTCACACTTGGATCAGGGAAAGTCACAAGGTTACCAAATCCACTTGAAATGTATGTTTTATCAATTTGTATGATAGCTATAAAGATGTTGTACCTCATGTGGATGGATCAAATTATCAAGTGGAAATATCACTTCCCTTACTAAAGTTAACTATATAAATTATTATTATATTTAAACATTTAGTTAATGTAACATTATAATTAATTTAAACAATAGATAATATAACACTTACTAAAATCGAATCATTTAATGTATCTACTCACGCTTTACGTATGCATAAAATTAGCTTTATTTATTATCTATTTTAATTAACTAATGTAATAATTTATTAATTTTAAAGAAAAATTGACGACCTTTTAATTTCATCATGATAATCATTTAAATTATCAATTATTGTTTGTGTTGTAACATAACTTAATTTAAAACTTTATGTTGTTTTAACTATTATTATTATAAAATAATTTTAAAAGAAACGTAGATGTATGTTTTTCTTAATGTTTACTGTATTTAATGTGTTCCTGTAACTCTTGTAAAGTATATATATTGAGTTTTTTTTTTTTTTAAACTTTATTTGATATTTTATTTTATGTTTTAAATTTTACAATATATTTTTAAGTTTGTTTAATATATTAATTTATGTTATGCATTTAACATTATAGTGAATTTATTGATAATTCATGAAGTTTTTTATTTATGATAATATTTATAATTAATAATATATTTAAGTTAGAAATTATATTATAGAAAAATATAAAAAGTTGGAAGTTTCAAATTAATATTGTGAAAGAAAAAATAGTATAGTATGAAATAGATAAGGGTGAGCATGAAATTATGGTTTAACCACCGATATATAATCTTGTGTTATTTTATTAAATCAATGTCTATAGAATGCTCACTATCTTCAGCATTCTTCACATGCGAGGGAATACGAAAGCATAATTTGGCCAAATCGTTTGTCGTCTATCGGCACTTATAACTCGAGCAAGCCTAAGTCTCCTTTCATATTGCCTAGGTTGCAATTCTTACCATGCCAAGTATAAATACAATCTTATAAAAATCAAATATCCAAATGTGCAACAAAACAAAAGTTTGTTAATTTTTTGGCTCTTAAACTTACAATAATTTGTGAATATTCATTTTCATAGAATCAATCACAACAAAATCACCACCTGTTTTCATGTACAAACAGATGGATCGCCTTGTTATTTGCTATATATTTATCAGTCTTACGTAACACATCTACAATGAGTGGGTTCTTTTTAAATGATACAATATTTAATAAAGAAACCGGTTGACCTGTTTGGCACGTAAACTCAATTGCTTATCATAAAATGAAGTCAAATGAAAAAGTATCCAGCAAAAGTCTTTTTCACGGTAAATTATTATTGTATAATTTTCTAAATTTTAATTAATATATACATATGTATCAATTCGAATCTATGCTATGTGAACTAGTTTCATGATGTATTGATAAACTGAAAGCATACCAAATATGGAACATGGCCATTGCATGTTCCATTGTTCAGTTCACATCTTTCCAAAATTTGCCTATGAGTTGTCTCCTCACATCTCAAATTATTATTAATGGTGATTTAAGATCACATATACTATACGATTTGTAAACTATCCAAATCTGATTTTATCTACAGCAATCTTTAATTACAAACTCTCCAACATTAAAGACCAGCCTTGAGCTAAAGTGCTCAAAGGGACCCCTAATTCTTTATCGTCGTCTTTACATTAATGATAAGACTATTTTGTAATCATGACATCTTTCAGTTAATTATGTTTATCAAGCATAAATTTATCCTTAGATATATTTTAATTTAATAAAACTTACAATTAATTATTAGCGCGTGATTTACTAGGGTGAATAATAGTTAATCAAATGTCCAAAAAACCATTAATAACAAACGAAAATTCTAGTATGCTTTTCATACATCACAATTAGTAATTTGTAATCATAATAAAAAAAAATCTACATAAAAGTGTAAAATTACATAAGGTAAAATCTTCCATAGTTAATCAAATGTCCAAAAAATCATTAATAACAAACGAGAATTCTAGTATGCTTTTCAGACATCACAATTAGTAATTGCTTAAAATAGCTTTTATATTAAAAGAGTTTTCTTTAGATAAAAAACATAGTTGCCATTTTTTTAATTCGATTTTTGTATTAAAACTAAAAGATAAAAGCTTTTAAAAGTTTGATGCCAAATAAACTCATCTCACAAATTTACAGATTTGTTATAGAAAAAACTACATATCGTTAATAACTTATGATGTTTCAATTAAAAAAATGATCAATCGGTGAGTAAATTAGAGTGTAAAAACACAAACTTTTAAGGTTTAACACACATATTACAATTCCATAATAGCGTTTCGCCTATGATGCACATATACATTAATTTCATAAACACAGATGTAAAATATTAATTACCTCTTTTGCCCTATATAAACCCCACAAGCCCCAACTCTAATTTCATCCTTTTCAAAATCCCACTTAATATAATAATACAAACATATACAAGAAGATGCCTTCAAAGACCAATACCCCCGTAGCACTCTTTCTAGCACTCAACGTTCTATTCTTTGCTCTAGCGAGTGGTTACACCATCTGCCCCAGCCCTAACCTAAAGCCATCTGATGCAGCGTGTCCAATAGACTCCCTTAAACTAGGTGTGTGTGCCAATGTGCTTGGGCGTTTACTTGGTCTTGATGTTGGGAACCCACCGAATAGACCATGTTGTAGCCTCATAGAAGGCCTTGTTGATCTTGAGGCTGCTACTTGCCTTTGCACTGCCATCAAAGCCAATGTTTTGGGGATCAATCTGAATGTACCACTCTCTCTTACTTTGCTTCTTAATATTTGTAGCAAGAAAGTCCCGATGGACTTTCAATGTGCTTAAATCATCAACCACATAAGTAACTTGGGTGTTTGTATTGGATTGCGAGCTTACTTTTGTGTCTTAATACGAATAAACCTACTTAAATTTCCTTGTAATGATGATATAAATTGTTAGTTCTTGGGAATTAAAATCAAAATTTTAGTGTTTCTTTATGTTGAATTCATTTGAGTCCTTTCTTTAACCAACAATGGATGGAACTTGTTTAATACAATCATACCAAATTGTGCTTATGTTAGCACTCGGATAAATTCGCTTGCACAATAATGTATGCAGAAAAGTTCTCATTATGTTTGTTTTTAGGTTTACATTCGTCCACCTACAAACGCCCAAGTTACTTATGTGGTTGATGATTTTTAGAAATCTTAAAGAATGAAAAATTTATCAAGTGAAGAGTCCGGAGAACAAAGGTGCCTTTTACCAACGGTATCATTTATATTGGAAATGTATCATTAATCCTTCAATCAAATGGTTGTGTGTGGACAATGATGTAGATTTAGAAGTAAGATTAGAGATATGTACGTTAGCGTTCTAAAAATCGAAGTCATGATAAAATCATTAGAAAAATATCTTAGCATTATATATAAAATCAAAACTATTGTTGTAATTATACTTTCTTATTTTGTTGTACCTTGTAATCTATGCAATCTCAATGAAACATTATTCACATGTGTGTTGAATTTTTAGAAATCTTATATGGTATCAACCTAAAACCAGTCATTTCTAATGGGAGCTGTTATTTCCACTGTTTCATTTTATTCATACACCGATTTTTAAAAGAAATTAACAATAATACCCTCATTTATATTTAGAATATAATTATGATGTATGTTAATATAATAACCTTTTTAATTCATTTGTAATAAATAAAACATTCAATTATTAACCCATCATCCTCTTTAGCTCAGTTGGTATTCCCCTCACATTCACACCATTTCCTTACATTTCGTGAACACCCAAGCCTGAGTCCTGCAACACAAGTGCCATCTTCTAACTCTTTGCCCTCCTCTTTCTTCATCCTCAAGAAACCTTCCCGTCTTCTCCCAATAAAAATACAAGCATCACCGGAACTTCCATAGAAACACCCATCTCCGATTGATTCCATTCGGAGACAAAACTCACCCCAAAAGGCCTTTCGTCCATTCCACCATCGCCCCTCCGTCGTCTTCAAGAAAGCCTCCCACACCAGCCGATAGAAAGCACGAGTTCGGAAGCCTTACTCGTCACCGACGATGAAACCTCAAAAATCCCTTGAACCAATTAAATCTTGAACTCTTCTGCAAATCGAATATTGAAACCCCATGGGCCATAAAATATTATTTTGAAAGGTGGTTTCGATTTTGATACTTACAGAAGGAGCGGTTTCCACCGACAAGTGTGGGTTGAAGGTCTCTGGCGTGGGTGTATGGAAGGTGAGGGAGAAGGTTACGGGGTGAGGGAAGACCAATGGGTTAAATTAACATTTTATTTATTACAAAAGATTACACTCCAAATATAAACAAAGTGTATAATCCTTAGTTTCTTTAAAATCAGTGGATGTATCAAAATTGACAGTGGAAGTATCAATTCTCATTTCTAATCTAGACACTGTTGGCTATTGGTGATCACCTTGACTCATCATACCCATTTCCACTTTTCACCATTAAACTCTCGTCTTCAAACTATCTTCAATGGATTAATAAGATCCTTCTACTCCTCTCCTATCAAGAAAAGATATTCAATGGATAAATGGTTAAAAACAAATGATTTTAAAAAATTGATTACATAAATTAATCAAAATAAGTTCAATAACTAGAAATTATTAAATGAAATATTTTGCTGTTATTTTTTTTAATTTTTAATTTTCCCATTTTTATGTGATTGACATAAAATTTGAATCGTGTTGTCCTCATATAAATTTTATGTGAATATGGCAAAGGAATTATAGGAAGAGAATAATAATACATATATAGAAAAAAGTTCAATAAAAAATCATTATTAATCAATGAACCAATGAACCACTTTAAAGTATAGAATTTAAATCGATCAACAACAAAAAGAATGGTTGTAGACTTTTACAATTGACGCACATGCACTGGATTATAACAAAACCAACCTTTTTTTTAGATTTTTTTAGACCATGTTTTTTAACGAAAAAAATCAAATATACCATTGTTAATGATTTTTCATCTTCTTTCCATAGAGGTTTATGTTTATATATATATATATATATATATATATATATATATATATATATATATATATATATATATATATATATTAAAAACACACTTCATTTATTTGTTTTTTTGAAAATTTAAGGCCTATTTTCTATCAAGATTTTTTAATAAATATATCAAAATTCATATTTTTGGTACTCTTTAAACATAGATTCATATTAATGTAAAAAAACGAAATTTCAGTATATATGAATCTAGAAAATTCACAATGTGAATAATCGTAAGTCAGATTCACATTGTAAATTTTGAAAACTATATTATATACATTTTAGATTTATAATATGAATAAATTCATTTGTTGATTTAACAAAACTAATTTACAAGTAATCAAAATGTTAAAATATTATAAAACTACATAGAAATATATTTCGATTCATATATAAATTTTAGTTAATTTGTGAATGATCAAAGAGTTGAAATATTAAGTCAGATTCACATTGTAAACGTTAAAATTAGAATATTTACAGTTTAAATTCACAATGTGAATATAAACTAATTGATTTTTTTAATTGATGACAATGTTTATTAATAGAGGACAATAAGTTAAGATTTATTGGTATAATTAATTTTTATTGGATAAAAATAAAAATAAATATTATAACATCACAAAAATCATAATAACTTTTTTTTTTTTAATTTTAAATCAAGAGGAATCATTGTTTTTAGACAAAACCCAAATCAAAACCAAACATTTATAAAACATTGTTCACAAAAGTGAAAATCATATATCAGAGAGTCCCAAATCAGTATCATCAAAACCAAGAGGATGTGCATGATCACACATTTGTTTTCTCATAGTCATCTGAAGTACTTGAAACATAAAACTAAAACTATAAGTCAAAGCTTAGTGCGTTCTCCTAAAGTACCACCACACAACATATAACAGCATGCATATTGGGTCCACAACTAATAGACTGGATTAACCCTGAGTCCATATCATGAGTCTGGCCTACCTTTCGGCCCACAACTCATGTCTGGCTTACCCCCGAGCCCACAACATAAGTCTGGCTTGCCTTACTAGCCCACAACTTATGTATGGGTTGCTCCTGAGCCTATATCATAAGTTTGGCTTGCTTTTGCGGCCATAACTTATGTCTGGCCTGCTCCTATGTTTGTTGGCTTCTGCACAGAGTGGGATTGCCTCAACCTAACCATATTATGTCGACATATGCATAGCATATAACATATATCTAGAAAACATATAACTATATAACCGGTCAGACAAACAAGCAGATTTACAGATCACTACCCCACAACAACATCCTATAAACCAAGACACAAATCTAATAGATCACGACAACATAACAACATCCTCTATACCAGGATACACAACCTATTAGGTCAGCATTAGTGCCTTCGACCCACAAGTACAGTAAGGAAAACTTACCTCTCAGTCTGAAAATATTGTTGAACATGACACTGCTTTGAATATTAACTCAATCGGTCACTTATTCATTGGAACATGACCAAACTTAACTTATAATCAACATACCCAAAATACCCCTAGGTTGAACTTGGTTAAAACAGGTCAATGCCAAAAAGTTAAAAAGTCAATCCGAGTCAAATCAGCTGCATACGTTGGGCGTACTTAGCCTGTACATGGGGCGTACTCAATCTTGACCAGAAAACAAGGTGTTGACTGTATACACAAAACATACCATTTGATACGCCCAGTGTTTGCGACTGCTTTTTCTTTCTTCTATTAAGAGCTTAACCCTTTAAGCTCTTTCATCTAAATTCCATATCTAGATAGATAGAGAAATACCTAGGAGTCGGGTAGTTGCAATTCTCCCCCACTAGAATCACACTTCGCCCTCAAAGTCAGGCTCCAGAAACAACTCTAGATACTACTCACGCATCTCAGACTCTGGCTCCCAAGTATACTCGGATCCCTTCTGATGCTGCCACTGGATCCGAATAAAAAACCTTCACTTTCCGATCCAAAATCGCAATCGGTCTCTCGATATAATTTAGGCTTGCATCCACCTGAATATCCTCTAAGGGTACCACTACCATCTCATCGGCTACACACTTCCTCAAATGAGACACGTGGAAGGTGTTATGAATCTGGATCAACTCTGTTGGTAGCTCTAACCAGTAGGCCACCCTACATACTCTGGCGATCACTCTGAAGGGACCAATGTATCGGGGCCCCAACTTGCCCTGTTTCCTGAATCGGATTACCCCTTTCCATGGGGACACCTTCAGGAGGACAACATCTCCCACCTGGAACTCTAGATCGAATCGTCACCGATCCGCGTCACTCATTTGGTGACTCTGGGCTATCAGTAACCTCTGTCTAACCTATTGAATCTGCTCAGTCGTCTTCTGCACTATCTCAGTGTCACCCATCACTCGCTGCCCTATCTCTCCCCAACAAATGGGAGTCTGACACCTCCTCCCATATAGAAGCTTAAAGGGAGGCATACCAATACTCGAATGATGGTTGTTATTGTGAGAAAACTCAGCCAAGGGAAAATATGTGTCCCAACTTCCTCCGAATTCCATAACACATGCACGCAGCATGTCCTCAAGCGTCTGAATCATCCGCTCGCTCTGCCCGTTTGTGTGCGGGTGGTATGCGGTACTGAAATGCAAACGGGTACCCAACTCTTCATGAAATTTCTTTAAGAACCTGGAAGTAAAGCGCACGTCTCGATCTGATACTATCAATGTAACGACCGAAAAATGCAACCGATTTAAATTTTTCAAAAACAACCCGATTTCATTAAATTGTTTACAAAAAGGTTTTCAATACAAATCATTTAGAGTATTCCCAGAATCACATTGCTACAAAATCATGAGGAGCGATACGATCATGCCTTTGCCTTGCCACAGTCTCCTGAAAAACCTGAAAAACATTAAACCACAGTTGTGTTTTGGTGTTCAGTGGAGGAGTTCGTGTCGGAGTTCGGAGCAGCGGGATCTTATCCTTTCAGCCGGCAGTTTCGAGGTGAGTTATCCTCACTATATCAACAGGGTCTAAGGCACCAAGGCCGGTCCTTTTATTGGATTGAGATCTAGGTATCTGTTGTTATGTTATTGCTTTGATATGTTTGCATCCTGGTAGTTAGGATGGTATTCGTTAGGGACCTGGTTAAGGTCGGTGTAACGCCCGCAGATCCGGGCTAGTCAATTTAG